ATTACATATCCTGAAACACTTACCCTGGTAATGTAGAGCTGGTGTTAAGCTTTTGATATATTACCAAAAGTTTATCAGTAAATTCAGGACATTTTTAGAGACATTTCAAAAAAAAAAATCAGTAGACACTGAAAAGCATGCAATAAAATGACACCCATTCATGACCTTCCCCACAAAATAACAACACTTAGCAGAGTAAAAATAGAAAGCATCCTCTTTACCTTTATAACTGTTATTTACCAGATGCATATTAGCAAATATTTTAACTTAATATTTAAAAACTTAGAAGCTTGGCCATTTAAGACACGTGATACTTGCTCTCAGTGCTAGTACATAAGCCTATGTAGGTTCTAGCCAACAAAGTAAAAGGAGAATGACAGACTGGATAAAGACAATGTGGCACATACACACCATGGAATACTCTGCAGCCATAAAAAAGGATGAGTTCATGTCCTTTGCAGGGACATGGATGAAGCTGGAAACCGTCATTCTCAGCAAACTGACAAAAGAACAGAAAATGCAACACTGCATATTCTCACTCATAAGTGGGTATTGAACAATGAGAACACATGGACACAGGGAGGGGATCATCACACACTGGGGCCTGTTGCGGGGTGGGAGAGCTAGGGGAGGGATATCATTAGGAGAAACACCTAATGTAGATGACAGGGGGATAGATGCAGCAAACCACCATGGCATGTGTATACCTATGTAACAATCCTGCACAATCTACATATGTACCCCAGAACTTAAAGTACAACTTAAAAAAAAAAAAAAAACCCCATTAAAAAAAAGCAGAAGATAGAAGAAGCATAAAAGTTGAAAAGAGGGACAATTCACATTATTGGCAGATAAAGATGTGGTCAACTACTTAGGAGAATCCACAAACTATTAAAACTTAAGCAGGGTTCTTCTGTGTGACTGGGGATTTCACCATGTGAAAATCATTAACTTTCCTATGCATGAAGTGAAATTAAACAGAAAATCTTGTCACAAAAGGAGGCCATTAATAGGAGTAACAAACTCTAAAGTACCTAAAAATTAACCAAAAATGAAATTGGCAAAGACTATGAAGAAAACTATAAAACCTAGTTAAAAGCTATGAAAGGTCTGAAATGGAGAAAAGATACCATGTTCATGAACAGAAAAACTCAAGACTGAAAAGATGGTAATTTCCTCAGATCCATCAATGCAACCTAATCAAAATCCCAACAAAAATGTGTTCCTTAACAATCTGGTTTCAAAATCATTATGAAACAAGATGGAGTGGAGTAGAAGGTTAGCAGTATTTGGACATGAGTATACAAGTAAAAAATGAAAATTTTATGTTTGAATCACTAAAAACAATATGAAGTAAATGTAGAGACAGCCAAGACTATTAAAGAAACTTGCTTTATCACATATCAAGACTTATGAAGGAATTGAGATACACGTGGGGAGGTACCAAAAAATAGACAAACAGAATAAAGGGTCAAAATAGAGTTCAGAAATAGGCTCACACGTAAGAATTTAGTATAGGATAAAAAGAAATCTGATGGCAATGAGAAAAGATCATACTGTAAAGTAAGAAATGTTGGGACAACTGGTTAACCAATGGAAAAATAACTATAATCAGACCCCTTCCTTACCCCAAAGCTAGCATAAGAGTCAGATGAATTAAACAATTAAATGGTAAAAAGTAAAATTAGAAGATGTAGGAGAATATCTTTAAAATACAAGGTTAGAGAAAGCATTCTCAAACAAGATTTTTAAAAAGCCAAAAATCAAATATTTATCAACTTGATTACATGTAAACTATACTTTCATATAACAAAATGACCACAAACAATGTTAAGAGAAAAAGATTGGGGAAAAAAAGAACTACAAGAACTACAGACACAATAAAAATAACTCCTATATAAATCAATTTGAAAGAGGCAAACATAGTAGAAAAGCGTTAATTAGGCAATTTCAGAAGAGCAAATATAGGTGGTCAATATTCATAAAAAGATATTCAGCCTCCCTGGTAATCAAGGAAATGTACATTAAAAGTCTGGAAAGATAGTCTTCCATTCATCAGATTGGCAAAAGTGTCTAATGTCTAAAATGATGAGGAGAGGCAAGTATTCTCATTCCGGGAGTAGTATGAACAGGTAACAACTACTTGGGAAAAGAAATACAGCAGTATCTTTAAAACTAAAAATGGGCATACCTGTGACCCTAGCCCTTCTACTCAGTACGTATGCTAAAGTGCACAAATTCACACAAGCTGAATGTCCATCAATAAGGTAAATATGGTATGCATGTAGCAGGTGAAATAATGAGCTGAATTCAAATGTAGTGGTATACCTAAATCTTGAAGGCTGTGTAACATGTGTAACAATTTTTACCTCTGGAGAGGTGACCTTTAAAGTTGGAGTGGTGGTCAAGGGGGACTTTGGTCTTATATGTATTAAAGAGTTAAAACATGTAACATTTTAATTTTACATAATAATGAATTCAGAAATGAGGTATTTAATAGGTTTTCAAAAAATAATGGGCACAGGGCATCTGAACTCCAGTCTCATTTTTGCCACTAACTGGCAACATCATCTTGAACAATTCATTTAATCCATCTTTCTCATCACTAACGTGGAAACTATCTGCCATCACAGTTTACAGTGAAAAGTGGAGTTGCTAACCTGGCCTGATGAAACAGTCTACTACCTTTCTAAGACTTTTTTGTCAATACATGATAGTAATTTCATTTCAATATATTTGGTCCTTTTGTACATCTTTTTTTTTCCCTCCCCCAGATATGGAGCAGTTTCAGCAGGAATGTTATGTGCCCTTACCACCCTGTCCCAGCAACTGGAGAATGAAAATGCTGTGGATGTTTTCCAGGTTGCAAAAATGATCAATCTTATGAGGCCTGGAGTATTCACAGACATTGTAAGTAGTTTGCTTATGTATAAAATCTGTACTACATCAGTTGAAACTCAAGACTCAGAGTTTAGAGCAGTAGTTCTCAACTGGGGGTGATTTTGGCCCCCAGGTGACATTTGGCCATGTCTGGAGACTTTTTTGCTTGTGACAACTGCAGATAGATGGCATCTAGAGGATACAGGCTAGAGATGCTGCTAAGCAAACTACAGAGCACAAGACAGCCCTCAACACCACACAGTTATCCAGCCCAAAATGTCAGTAGTGCTCAGGTTGAGAAGCCCTGCTTTAGAGGACAGTATTCTCTGGTTATCTTGATGAACTATCAACATTGAGAATTGGTTCCAAGCTAACAGAGATCAAAAGGACATGAAGAAGGTATAGGTCTTGATTCTAATGGATTAAAATCATTTTTTTAAGTTTCTTAGATAACATTTATGCTATTGCTGTTTCTCTAGTGCGTTTTTCACATTTACCATTTTAGTTGGTATTTCCTCCTTACATGAAATGACTAAGCTGTTCTTTGGCTCAAACTGTCTTCCTCTTGTTTTTCAGGAACAATACCAGTTCGTCTATAAAGCAATGCTCAGCTTGGTCAGCACTAAAGAAAATGGAAATGGTCCCATGACAGTGGACAAAAATGGTGCTGTTCTAATTGCAGATGAATCAGACCCTGCCGAGAGCATGGAGTCTCTAGTGTGACTGGAATCCTGAAAGGGCACTTAATTTGTAAACTTCTGAAGACTGAGAACTTTTTTGAGGCCTTTTTTGCCAGACTCTAGGTTATACAATAACCCAGTTACTTTTTTACACTGACGAAAGTTTTGATATTTATTTTTTGCCATTTTATGTCTTAATGGTATCCTACTGAGCATTTGCACCTCTGTTCATTTCACACAATGACATGCAATTTTACCTAGTTTGCACTATATGATCAGTGTTACTGCCTATAATCTTATACAACAGCAAACCCTGATGTGACATTCCATGACAACATACATGCTACTTTTTTTTAGTTCAATACAGTGAAGGTCTTTGTTATGACAGTGAATATTGATTTTATAATTATTATTGCTAAAACAGTTGCATTCTACTAGCAGGCAATGCTGTACTCTTCTTCAGTCCTCCTCTCCTATTTTTTAAGGCACTGTTCAATACTGTATGCCTTCTGTATTTTAATGGAGTGGATAGCATTGTTTTCTTTTACAGACTAGCAGGCTACTGGGAGCTAAAAAGGTCTGTTAATGTCATGGCCTTGAAACAGTTCCATTTTTGATGGTTAAGAGATCCATTAAGAAGTTAGAAGGCTTCAGAACTGCTTCATGTGAACATCCCTTATTAGTTACAAAGTTATATTCACAGTTTTTAAAAAACCTGTCAAAATAAAGGATAACTCTATTACAGCTTTCACAGTAGCTATGTGGACAATGTGTGTTATTTCCATTTTGACTCTCTAAAATAGCTACATCCTAAAATCAGGGCTATCTTTGACACTAGTGAGATGGAAATATTAGGTACAACTCAGTTGTGAGACCCTTTAGTTACTCTCCATTAATACTTACTGGTTTATAATACCACACCTCACAGTAGGTAGAAGAATGAAAAGTTTTGCAGGTGTTTAATTCTGAAACTAGTCCTTTAAAAATTCCCTATTACTCATATAGCAATCTAATAAAAACTACCTACACAGTTACTATTCTTTTCTTTCCTTCTCTGCCAAATATTTTATAATAAATCTCTTAATTATATACATTATTCTACTTAAGATTAAATTGGAAATACCATATTAGCAAAAGTCTTGGGACTATTTAAATCCCACACATAGATAAATCTGATCTGGAGAGAGAAAATTAAAATATTTAATTAAAGGTGATACCCATATTTTCAAGTTTTTAAAAGAGGGAGATGGCTTTGTATGCTTTTGTGTAGTTTAGTGTCAAGAACAGATACACATCAGTAAAAGATACCAATAATCATTAGAGCCCAAAGAAGTTATTTGGTGCAGCCTCTGGAGCCATATTCACCCTGCAGTACATGAGAAAATTAGGAGCATTAATAAGAAATTTTAGTAGTGTTTGTCAGAAAAATAAGCTACTTACTGAGATCTGTTTCTTCTATCGCACGTTTGCTTTTGAAGGACAGCTTCTGTCAAAAGTGAAATCACCACCAGAACTGGGCCTGTTAAGAAGAATAGGGTTTTGTTTATTTTTTTATGTCAATTAACTTCAACACAAAGTCCACACTGGCTGCTATCATGCCATCTGGGTAGGCGTTAAACATTAATGATAATCAGCACTGAGGTTCTATTTATCTTGAGTTATCTTTCATAATGTTTGTCAGAATGGTGCTGGAGGACCAGAATGGCTAAGGAGAAAGAGGCTATGGGCTAAGTTAAAGAATTTGAATGGAAAGTCTAGGTCAGTGGAGTTTTCATGAACTGCGTAACTTAACAGGGTTAATCTCATCTTTTCAATACATAGATTCAACAACTTGGAATACTCTGCTTTTCAACAGCTGTATAAACTAGTCTTGAGAAAAGATGTTCAAGAGAGAATGCTCAGTTGCATGTGCTAAATGACAGACAACTTTACAGCCCCTCTGCTCCCACCAGAGGTAACACAGAAAGCTCTACCTAACACAAATAAAGAGCTTGAACGCAGGTCCATTACAACTGCCAGATGCTGAGGAGAATCAGGAAAGGAATGAGCTAGACTTTTCTTAGTCAATTTAGTGGGTTATTTTAGTTGTACAGAGTATTGACATGAGTTAACTCTTTTTAATAGATGGCAAAGTGGGCTTGCCATTCAAAAGTAATTTTCAAGTTAGGGTTCACGGTCCCTTTCTCAGTAATTTTTTCTTAATAAAAGTAAACATTGGCTCAAAAACAAATAGCAAGTATTCCCTCCTGTGCTATTTATAGACTCATTCATGGAAAGGCGTACCCTCCAGTGCAATTCTGTGGCTATCTCTTACAGTGGTTTCAGAATCATTATAAAACAGCTAGTAAATAGAAACAATAAAAGAAATATTTAGAAGTTCCCTGTGAGCAATCTGTGTGTCTCCAGTGAGCTTGAACCAAAGTCTCCATATCCTGACCCACTGAATTATAAGCAATTGCTACTTGCCCATCTTGCCAAAGTGGTCCAAACACATTTCAGTGAGGACAGTTATATTTAGTAGGTCCTCACCCATGCAACAGAGAGCATATCCTCACTATCATTATTCATATGTTATTGGCAAATACATAGCTTGCATCTTTCCAGAGGCAGAGTTTCAAAGACAGAGTTTTCTTTGAGACATAAGCACATTGCTTAAGTATATAACAAGGTGATTAACACTTGCACTCAGGGGAAAGGAAACAGCGATTGCAAATTAATGTGTGCTACTTTATAAAATAAACTGTGTAATATGAATTTAGCACTACGTAAACAAAATGCACACATCATATAAAAATGAATTGCAATGATTAGACCAAATGACTGTGCTGGACATCAAAGAAAAGACATGCTATTGCCATCAGGAGAACTCTTTCTTACATCCGATAGCCAAGATATCTTCTTTAATATGAAAAAAGTTAGATTCTGATTTTAAGAAAGCATAACATTAGCTAATTGGGTCTTCCTAATTTTTATGCCTTTAGAGCTGTTGGAGTCTATTTCAAGTAGGAGAGTCCAGGAAGGTCAAAGAAAGGTTATGGTGTTCAAGGTCTGGCTGTTGGAGTTTTTAGCCCAGAGTGACATATTGAAATCAGTAAATAATTTTAATTATCTTATAATGACACAGCACAACTGCCTTGTTATGAATTTTTCTTAAATGCATATATACTATATTTAAAATTAAAATATAGATACCAGTTTACCAAAGATACATATTACTAATTCTAAGCAAAATTTTTTTTAAAAACCCAAACGTCATAATTTAAGAATAATCAAAATGTAGTTTGTCTTAAGAATTTAGCAGTTATACTGGAAATGCATTTTCAACTCCTGTGTTCTAAAATTTATGTTCAAATAGTGCCAGTGAATTTTTTATGAAGGGAAAATGCCTGCTTTTTTTTTTTAACAGCTGTAATTTCACTTAACCCTTCGTGCTTTCCCTTAGTTGCCATTTAACATACAATACTGGCTTTACTTATCTCTAGAAAGAAGGCATGCTACAAATAGGAAAGAATTGTAATAATGATATTTGGCCTCTACTTTGTCTTAGCTGTTAAAACTGTTTTTAGTATTTTTGTTAAATATTTGCAAAGGGAAGCATTTTCTACAGAGGATAATTAATTTCAAGAAAAATATCTTGAGTTTTAAGAAATAAACATCTCCAGAAAAGGAGACAGTCGATTTTATAAAATGTCGCAACTCTCCAACATTTGGGGTAGTGACTCCTTTTTTGTTAGGACATTTGAAACTAGCAAGCAGCCATTGTTTCTAAAGAATTCTGCCTTCATGTTGACTCATGTTTCTTTCACTTCATTTTGAAATAGCTAAAAATCATTAAAACTGTAAATATTTTGTTGCTTGGGTAAGCATCTTCTGGGAACTTTGTATCTATGGTATATAATCATAGAATTTTATATTTTCATATAAAGCTAATTTTTTTCTAGTTTCAACTCCGTCATAGTTTTTTTTCCTTTTTGTGGTGGAAATGTGAATTCAACTTTCTGTGTATTGAAGTAGCAAGAACCATCTTTGCATTCCAAAAGAATCCAACATGTGTTATTTCTTTGAGGCAGTGATTGTGAAAGTTGGGTTTTCTTTTTAATTCCATTGACCATTTGTGCAATAGGAATTAGACATAGTCACCGAATACATTTGTTGCATTGACCCATTTGGAAAAAGTGTGCTTTTTTTTTTTTTTTTTTTTATTTGTTCGGGGGGAGGGGTTTTGTAACCTGAAAATTTTCCCTTTTCCTTCTGTTTAAACTGTATCAAATCATTCTATTATAGTGTTATTTAATATGTAAATTGTATTGCTATACATAAAATAAAGTATGGTTTTTGATGTATTCAGCAGTGTTGAGCATTTCTATGAAAATGTTTATATCGAATAAAATTAGGTTACCAGTCTCCCTTAACAGATCACATGAATACCCAGCAACCCTCTAAGTTTTCATGTTAGTAAAATGAACATTGGTAGTCATCTTTAAAAAGGCAGCAAACCAAAAAGAAGGGTCTTTGCTGGGCTGATTTAGCATGTTCTTTCTCCTTTAAAGAGTAAACAATGACAGTTTTATCTGCTTGTCTAAGAAATCAAACTTTATTCACTTTGTGACTCTGCTGCTAAGTTGTAAACAGAATTACTATTTTCTCTAGTATATTAACTAGATTTGTAACAACTCTCTTAATATTTACTATGTAGGATAAAGGATATATCCTGGCAAGACTTCTGTAGATCCTCTATGTGTAGGATCAGTACAATTGCTTCTACTTAACAAGGAATTTTGACATTTCTAAACAGGTATACAAGTACCAAACTTGGCAGCTTTGGTCTACCATTCTGTCTTAACTTTTAGTGACGCCATATCAGGTGCTCAACTCTTCCTACCAAAGCCCCAGTTTTTCTTCCCATAGAGATAAGAGCTGATACTTCACTCTCGCTGAGACATGAGGAATTTTAAGAAAAAATGTGTGACGAGTATGTGGAAGAAAGATGCTAGCACCAAAGAATGAATCTCTTAGGATATAACCCTAGTCTTCCTTAAACTGCACCCATGGGGAACTACTACCCTATATCATAGGATTTACCAGAGGTTCACAAATTGATGGCTGGTAGATTGTGTTCAGTCCACAGATACATTGTATTTGGCTTATAATTTTAAAATTTGTATTAGTTACCAATATTTAACAAACAAAACTTTTGCACTTAGATTCATGTTTCAAGCTCCTTTAAAAAATTTGGGTGTTCGTGTAACAGGCTCACACTCTCCCATGGCAATAAAAAGGTGGAAATGAACAGTAGTTGTCCTATTTAGATGGAATATATACTCTCCAGTTCACCAAAGTCTACATTGCTCCCTATCACCTTAGGCCTACTCATCATCAGTCATTTAATTAACTTGCCTGGATCCTGTGAGCAATTGCCTCTGAGATATCCAATAAGAATTCTGACACTATCTTCCATCTCAGTCTAGTAAAAACAACCAAGTGTGGCAGTAGAAGTATCTCTAAGTCTTGCATCATGAAAATCCTAGACAATCAGCACGCAACACAGTGGGTTCCCACATCACTCACTGCCTCTAAGTCCACTCAAGATGATTCCATTAAGCAGCAGTTAAGACTATTCAAAAGCATTTTAAAAAATCAATTTTCTACTCCATGGCTTTTACTGCCCAGGACAAAACCCTAGACGAGGAAGCTTCATTTATGCTACTACAAATGGCAGAAAGAAACCAGAATACAAAAAGCAACTGGTCCAAAACTCTATTTTTAAACTGCTAATTGTGGAACTTTAAGATTTAGAAACAAATCACTACTGACCATGCCTGGATTCAGAGACAGGATTGAAGATGATGGCTTTAAATTTCTGCCTATGTTAGTAAAAAATCACATAAAGGCACTAGAAGATGATAACCAGAAGTTGGTTACTAGCAAGTTAAAATTGGCTTTTGTGATTATGAAGTTAAGTTTGGCAGAAAAGGATAATTACAGCAACAGTTAATCTGACTATAACAATTACATTGCTCAAAAGTTGAAAAGAAGAAATTAACTTCATCTAATTTGTGGTAATTTCAAATCATTTGACTTGTAGTTACTGGCCTATAAACTAATTACTTTCCCTTTCCCACATCCTGCACTTGCAGGGTGTAAAGGCAGGCTTTGTGGCAATATCCAGTGGGCCTTGCAAAGCTTCAGAGAACATTCTGAACCAGAGACATCTTTAGCACTATGTTAGGATCCATTCCATAAGCATTTCCTGCATGTCTACTACAGACCACATGTTAGTTATACTCTATATAGAATGTAAAGTTGTTGGCAGAGGCATTTCAAATCAGATGAGACAAAGATGATAATTTAGTCTTAAAAAAATTAGTTCTTCAATTTATTCCAAAATATTTAGCTGGCACTAGAGTAGAGATGGTTTTTAGGGAGAGAATAAAAAAGACTATTGTGCACCGATGTGAGCAAACAAGTAAAACCTGTAATCCCAGACACTCTCTATTACATACTATGCTGACAAAATTC